GGGATGTCCAGTGGAGTCTGCTCATGAGAGGCACACCTGCTCTGAGGCCCCTGGGGGTTCTGGGTACAGTGCAGGTGTCCGGGATGCCTGGTTCTCATCCCCACCCATCAGAGGATCTGAGGGTTGCTGACATGATGGGGGTCACACAGCTATCAAGTACAGAGTACTGGGGCAATGGCGGGGATGAGAAAAGCTGAAGAAGCAGAGACCATGGCCTTACTCCACCTGGGAGGCTGGGATGCGCTGGCGAGGAGGGTAGAGGAGGAACTGGCCCAGCAGGTCCAAGGCCTGAGCAGAGGCGTCGGGCAGCACCTCTTCCAGGGGCACCGGTGCCCTGTCCTTAAAGGAGATCTTGTTGTAGTCGGGCAGCTCAGTGATCTCCTGGGCCACGGAAGAGGAGGGGGGAACATGAGAGCAGGCAGCACCCTTGCCACTCCCCTAGAGGCCAGCTCCTGTCCCTAACACAAGCTCACTCACAGCTCCCATCCATGTGTCCCCATTATCACTCATTCAGTCATCCCTCTTCCATTCCTTCCTCCAACCCCTCACCCTCTGAGATACCAGCTTGGTACCCAGCTTGCTGAGACGCCAAGCCATGCGTGTGCTGGGGTGGGAAGGGGCAGAGGACAGGACCTGGCCCTCCCACCTCCAGCATGGCAGGAAAGAGGAACTCCCAAACTGGGCGAGGACAGTGGTCCCTGTCGGTCAACAGGGGTCGGGGCCATGAGAGAAAAGGTGCGGGGTGGGGGGAAGCAGCCACTTGTTGACGGGCAATGGAGTAAACCTGCCCCACACCCTCCCTACCAAGGGCCCCTGCAAACCGGCCAGACTTGAGGGCTGGGGGTGCCCAAGATGCGATGCACACAGCAAAGCTGTTCGATGTCATTTTCACCCGGGAAGAGGGGGGACCCATTCAACAGCTCCCCCATGATGCAGCCCACAGCCCTGTGGACACAGAACCCCGAGCAGCTCAGAGATCACCCACCATGGGACAAACACCTACTCTCATCAGCTCCAAACCTCACACCAGGGGCAAGACCCCTGCACACCAGCCCAAAGTCTTCCTGTCTAGGGGTACAGACCCCCAAAGACCTCAACCCTAGAACCCAGAGCAAAGCCCCAACAGTTAGTTGCAACACTGCTCAGAGCCTCACACTCCAGGATGCACAGCTCCCCCTGCACTTTCTGGGGCAGGCCAGTAAAATGGCCCCGGGAGAGGATATTGATTAAAAGGTTATTAATAAGATAGAATTAAAACACGTAAATTTTACAGGACCAAAGTCCTTAGTTTAGGAGGCCAAAGCCTACAGCTATGGGGCCAAAGCCCAAACCTTTAGGATTTAGAATGTAGGACCAGAGAATTTACACAAAACTAAAGCCTTTAATGTGTATAACAGCACTGAGGCAGAACAGGGATTGTTCTGAAGGCAATTGCCCTTA